AAACTGAGGCGTTCTCTGCGAGTTAATATAAAAGACCACCTGGGGGTTCTTTGCTTGAAACATAACCACTAATGCCAAGGGCTTCCTGGTAACAAAGGAAAAGTCACAAATATGATTCAGAGATTTCTTCCTGCTTCAAAAATATATCATTGTTCTTGTATAAAGCCATTGCTTTAAAGAAACCAGATCCAGCCACCTGACTTGATCCAGTGTCCAGGTGTTTGTAGTCTATTGTTTTTTTTGATGTGATTCACTTTGCTCCAACTTAATTGCCTAAATTATCTTGGAGTGAGACCACCAATGTATACTCGATCCTGAAGGAAATGTGGTGCTTACTGCATCATCACCAACTCTTACCTCTCTTCATTCTGATGCTATTATCAAGGCAGTGTGCACAGAGGCCAGGTGGACTACATTTTCCTCTTTCAATGCTTCCTGGAAACGCACAACTGCTGAATGTTTCACTTGGTATTAGCTGCATTACTTTCCACTTGCACTGTTGGTTTTCAACAGCCTATTGTCTCATCTTCAGCTCCCTGCCTCTTGCCAAGGGCTAGACGGTGTTGTGCCAGCTGCTTCTGCTCTGGGCAATTTTGTTCAAATCTTAGAATCCCTACAGTATGGAAGCAGGCCGTTTGGTCCATTCTATCCACACCCACCCTCAAGAGCATCCTGCCCAGACCCAGCCCCAGTCCCCTACCCTATACCTGTAACCCGTGGTTCCCGTGGCTAATCCACCTAGCTTGTACATCCCTGGACACTATGAGCAATTTATAATGGGCAATCCACCTATCCTGCACATCTTTTGGTGATTAGGTTTGACCGCTCACTACAGAAGCGAGGTTGCAATTGTTTCTGAGGCAATCGTCCATAATTCTGCTTCATCAGGAGGAAGTCCCAGTGTGGCAGGCCAGTTGGTGTCCACTATCTGAACCATTGTTGGTTTGCTAGGACCGTCAGTCTCTTTCACCATTTCAGACTTCATTGCACCCATAGGGATGATGTCTACGATCAACACCAGCCAAAGACAGTGATACCCTTAGTTTAACTCTTCAGCGGAGGTGAGGTACTATGGTGTGCATTACCTGCTGCATATAGGTGTAGGTGAGAGCTGAAAACACTGTGGGGCGCCAGTCAGATTTATTCACTGGACTGTGTGGCTGGCAATGGCCCTGAGCTGCTCCTCCAGTCACTGGGAAAACTACTGGAAAATGTTTCAAATCCTCTCTCCCTCTTCGACATTGATGTACCCTTGCTGCATCAACTGAGACTGGTCTGCACCCTCTCACCTCCTTAAGTTTCGTTTCATCTCTTGTCAAAGAGAGCTGCTCCTGCACAAACAAGAGGAAAACCTTTCTGCTTTCAAACCAGATCTCTAAGTTTTCCCTCTTTTGGTTTTATGTCAATAGACCTTGTGTATTTAGCCATTGCCTTTTCCGCTGCCCACCCAGAATGTGTGCTGAAGATCGTTGCATAAAATGTTTCATCAATTTAGTCACTCGTTTATATAGTAAGATCACTTAAATAAACAGGGAGGGTCTTTTTTAAAAAAAAAGAGATGAACTCTAAGCTACTTCAATTTAGTGACTTCAGTGGCAGTTAATTATGTTGAAGCATTCAATAATTTGGCAGCTCTGGGCTTGTCAAACAATTCCACAGAGTATTAACCTCAGTAAATGTTTGTCTGTTCTCCAAGAGCACTTCAGCTCATGTGGATGAATAGGAAATGCAAGATAACCTTAGCAGGCTCAGCAGGAAAGGGAGCCTCAACAAGCACACCAGTGCGGAGAGTTCCTCCTAGCCCTTCCTACACAGCTGCACTTACTTAACAAAGTTCCAGCTGTCTTAAAATTCAGGGCATAAAGGGTTTTCCAGCCACATAATGGAGGCCAGCACCAAGGGACAAGGAAGCACCTTGACACACGGGCATGTCCGATGCGCTATTTCCAAATAAAACAGTGAAATTTTTTAAATTCTTCTTAACTCTACAAATCCCAAATTCCTTTTGTGGTTTGCAATTGCAAGAATATTTTTTATGCCACTCCTGTCAGCAGCCATTTCTCTCCGGGCTGTGACACTGCCGACTGGGTACAAGTGTTAACCCTCGATTGCCTTACTTTTCAGAAATGTGGGTATTTTTCCATCTTCTGTCCCTTTCCAGTTAATCCCAGGAATACAAATTATTTTGAATGCTGCAGGACAGTGCATTTTTCCATTGTTGGGCATTATAATTAAGCAAAACGGTGCAGGTGCTTTTACAAAACTGAACTTTTGTATGCCAGTGGCAAAATCACCCCTGAGTTGAAATGTATGCCATGCACCCTCCAGTGCAGCTTTGATCTGTACTGTACATCAAAGGGGAAGAGTCTGGAACTTCATTCTTATTTGTGGAAAAGTAACATTAGGCCCTACGTAACACTCTGTTAGCCCTGTCGCAAAGAGAGCAGTGAATTGAATGTTTTTCTGTTCTCCTGCCTGTAACCCAAGTGGTTTTTAATTTCATCAGTTGTTTGTTCTTCTCCCTTTCAAAAGTGAAAGCCATACTTCCCTAAAACCCATTCATCAAGTCCACTTTAAAAATGACCCACAGTAAATCCCTCAGGATGAAAACAAAATAGGATGTATTAATGCATTCAAATTCCAGAGGAGTGGATTTTACAACCCGCACACAGAACCCTACACATGCAGATCCATCGGTTTGAGGTGGGGGTCTTTCAGTTGACTGTGCACTGACATCCCTTTCACAGGAGCTCAGATGCAGTTGTTAATGCAAGTGCTGCAGGTGTAAACTGGGAATTGGATATGTTTGTAGGTAAAATGTAAGACTCCAGAACGTGGACTTTTGGAGACAGATTAAGATTCAAGGTAGGTGCTGGCTAAGCACAGTGCTGCTTTCCCTGTGTTTTCTGCTGGTATTATCAGCAGGTTGATTAAAGGTGTCAACACTATATAATTAAAGCTGTTCAAAACCCAGCCCTATAGTTGAGGTTTTGAGCACAACCACGCTCGTTAAAAAGGTGGGATCATGGGTGGGACACTCCAGTTATGAGGAAAGCTCAGAGAGGTTGAGACTGTTTGGAGAGGAGTTTTGATAGAAATTTTGAAAATCCCGAGGGTTTTGGACAGGGAGAAACCGTTCCCACGGCAAACGCGAAGGGGAGTTAGAAATTTCCATAGTTATTGATTTCACAATGAGATATCACAGTGAGAATTCATTTCTCCGTCTCGGATCCTTGAGGGTCACCAAACCATGGGTTCACTGGGCAGTTCGGGACAAGCATCAAATGTTGGTTTTGCCATATCTCCTATCCCTTGAAAGAAAACATGGGCTTGAAGCTGAACTTAGCATGCATCCTGAAAGATTTCATGAGAAGATTTCAAAAGCATATCACTCTTTGTGGGAAGTCCTAAACTTAAACTCAGTGACTTTTAGACGGCTTTAGGACGGTGTTAAGTGAAACTAGCAATGAAATCTACAACTACTCACGGTGCTCATGAAGTCCCTCTAAACTGTTGTAAAGTTGATCTATTACCAGGACTGTCCTTCGATCAGTGGAAATAATCAATAGGTACAAAATTGAGTTTGTTTCTTTTTATAATAATAATTAAAGTGAGTGTCAGAGACTGAGGAGAGACCTTAGATTTATAAAATCCTGAGAGGCATAGCCAAGATCTTTTTCCTAGGCTAGTGGAGTCCAAAACTAGAGGGCATAGGTTTATGGTGAGAGGGAAAGATTTAAAAGAGACCCAAGAGGCAATTTGGTGCAATTTGGTGCAGAGGGTGGTGCATGTATGGAACGAGCTGCCAGAGGAAGTGGTGGAGGTAAATTACAACATTTGAAAGGCATCTGGTGGGTATATGAATAGGAAGGGTTTAGAAGGATCTGGGCTAAATGCTGTTAAAGGGGACGAGATTTAAATAGGATATCTGGTCGGCACAGGCAAGTTGGACGGATGGGTCTGTTTCCGTGCTGTATATCTCTATGAATCTACGAAGCCCAGCTTAATGTGAAAAGTAACAGCAGATTGTGTTTTTGAGGAAGTGATATCGTAAAAGGGCATTTGACAAGCTAGTGCTAATAGTGTACCTAAACCTTTGATAAGGTAGCACCTTAAAAGAGGTACGGAAACCTTTGTTAGTTACAGTCCAGGCAAAACCTTCTGAAGCTACGGATTTGAGATAGAGCAGAGAATGCTGTAAACCAGGAAACATGGCTTACTATTTCTGATGTACGTAACTGATTTTTGAACCTGAGCTGGATGTTTGTCTGATTCACAAATGATGCTGTACTCAACGGGTGGAGTGTTGAGAATGAAAGAACAGAGCAGTTAAGGAAAAATTTGTGCACAACTTCCAGAAGTGGACAGAACAACGATGAAATTCAATGGGGATCATTCTGGAGAGGTAGGTGGTCTAAATGCTGCAGCAGGTATAATGAATGGTCTTGGCCAGACAAATCTGAGTCAAATTAGACCTGATGCTGACACCATTGAGACTTCAGAGGAACTGTTAACAGAGGAGAGATGTGGCATGTTTGTTCAGTTTTTTTAAGTCTGAGGCCAGTTTCATGGAGCTATATGTTTTCTTTTAATGGAGGATACGTCCCTAATGCAGTTACACAGATGTGTTAAATTTTGGAAATGGTGCTGAGTGGGACCATAGTGATGAACCACAATGTCTGGAGACTAGGTTATGGGGGACAGGGAGAGAAATTCTGAATCCAGCTTTGAAAGAAAACACGTGAGAAGTGACCTTCATGGAGGCAGGTGAAACATTGAATCAAATGGGAAGCTGTAAATCCCAACTGCCAAGACATGTAGCACCATAGCTACTAGCCAGTGAATTTCTGACGTCAAAGCTTGGGTTAGTTGAACAACAGTTGGCTGCTGAGGGAATGGTTTTCCCCTTAGAAACAAAATGGCTCGTAAAGCATCCTTCATCTGCACTTCACTTTGACTATTAATTTAAGTAAAGCACTTAATTTTATGTCTTCTGACAGAATACAACACCAGTGACCAACGACAAGCTTGCAAAAAGCATGAACTGTATGTGAGTTTTCGGGACTTGGGATGGCAGGTAAAAAAAACTTTTTTTTTCTTCCTTTGTATGTCATTTATGATTTGTCATTTGAGCTGGAAATCCCTATGTCTAATTAGCTGCTACAGTCAATGTGTAAACATATTCAGGAAGTTGAATTCTTTGTTTTAATGTATTATTCTATATTTAGTATCTAATTATTTGCATTATTAAACCTCTTGCTCGTAGCAAATACTACAGAGCAAAAATGCATGTAAAACAAAAGCTTAAATAATCATTGATTTGAAGAAACACTCATCATAAAGTTTACTTGTTGTACACTTTGGGACATAATAGAATCAGAGGTAAAGCATTCAAAAGATAGCTGTGACCCATTGAGCCTGATCCATCATTTAGTGTAAACATGGCTGACCCTTTTTAGCTCAATTCTACCTTTGTGCTGTATTCCTGATCTTGCTTAATTCCCTTAAAGATCAATAATTTTTAGATATTATCTAGCATGGACTCCACACAGCCCTGATAGAAGTGCATGGCACTTGAATGAAGAAATTTCCGCTCTCCTCTGTCCTAATTTATTGACCTCTTATTCAGAGACTCCCTACCCTGGTCCTAAATTCTCTAGTCAGATGAAACCAGCTCTGATCATGTGGTCTGTCAAATCCCTTTAGAACTTTGTTTCAATGAGATTGTGTCTTTTGTTTTTTAAACATTGTAGGAAATATAGTTTCTGTCTTTAAGAAATCACGATTGAAAGACAGATCATGCATTTGTGTAGCACCTTTCATGAACACAGATTGTCCCAAAATTCTTTACAGCCAGTGAAGTACTTTTGCAATGAAATCTCTGTAATGTAGGATACAGGAAACAGTTTATGTACAGCAAGCTCCAAACAGTGCTGTGATAATAGTCAGTTAATGTGTTTCAGCAAATGTTGGTTATGGGATGACTATTAGTCAGGACAGTGGGACAACTCCCACTGCACTATTCCAGCTGGACGTTGTTTCCAATGTAATTAACCTTCTTTGAGGTTTTTCTGCTGAGTACAAACTTGGATCATATTGAATTGTTCCATTTGTAATTATTAGCCATGAAACATAGCCTCAGTTTTTCCTCAAGGTATCTCAAATGCCAAAATTTTGGGGGCTCTTTGAGCAGAGCTATAAAAATGTGCGTAGCTTCACTTACTGGGTGAAGAGGCAATGCAGAATTTTGAGAATCAAGTCCATTTTCTTTGTTAGTGTCAAGCGTTCAATTTTTGGTTTTATTTTGCTTTGAGAATTTTTGTCGAGCTATTTGTTTTGAGTCTTTCTGTGCCCTTGCTGTATTATCCTCATCTTAGTCTTTCCTCAAATTGTTGATCGCTCTATTTCCCCCCACATTAGGCAAAGAAAGATTGCCAGTGTTGTTTAACCAATCACGTGTGTATTATTTAGGTTGCTGGGTGTGGCCAGTAATGCTGCACTATTGGGAAAGGAGAAATTGACAAAAGTTCTTGCTTTCAATTGTGATTCATCAATTTGATAGAGATGTGTAAGAGTATGATGGGCTCAGACAAAGTAGACAAAAGAAAGCAGCTTCCATTTGTACATCATACAAGATCTGGGGGAGACTCCAGTTTAAGGTTTTTGGCTAGGAGGTAGGGGAGGAAGAACTTTTCAATGCAGCGACTGGTAATGATTTGGAACCCACTGCTTACATCGATGGCTGCAAAGTTTTTTGTTTTTAAAAGTGAATGCTTGCTAAAGGGAACTGAACTGGGAGGAAGTGGGCATGGACTGAGTGACTGGATTGCTCTGCAGAACGCAGGCATGGACTTGAGCTGAATGGCGCCCTTCTGTGTCATTGTGATTCTATACTCTAATTGCTGTTGAAAGGCACTTGTGTGAGCACATTCCAAGATCCTGATATGCCACTGTCGAGGAGAATACCTACCAGCATTGATTTGTGACCAGTCGTCACTTGTAGCTGAGGATAGTTTGCACGAATGGAATCAGATCTCAGCCAAGGGCCAACATTTTGACGAAGTGAAACCTGACATGGGCTATACATTCAGAGACTGTAAGAACTGCAGATGCTGGAGTCGGAGTCAATACAGTGTGGAGCTGGAGGAACACAGTAGGTCAGGCAGCAACAGAGGAGTAGGAAAGTCAACGGTTCAGGCTGGGACCCTCCTTCAGGACGTGAAGAAGAGCCCTGACCCAAAACGTTGACTTTCCTGTTCCTCTGATGCTTGACCTGTTAAGTTCATCCAGCTCCACACTGTGTTGGCTACACATTTATTAATACACCAGCATGCAAAGTGTAGTACCTTCTACAACCTATGCTTTTTTTTTACTTAAAAGTATGTATGTATGACATAAAGTACTTTTCGTCTGAATGTTCAAATATTTCATTTGAATCCGAATCCATTCCAGAAGTTTTTACCTAGATCATATTATCTCTTCCACTTACCAGAAAGCAGTACAGGATCCTATTCTACCATTAATGAAAAATCACGGACATTTTTGAGATGGTTCAGTTAATATTGTATCGATGGTCACAGGGCTAGTTTATTAAAGTTCTACAAGTGACCGTTGATAATCTGAGCCACTCAGCTCCCTCATATAACTGAATATGCAGGCCCGATGGCAGCCAGTTTGATTCCTGCTCCTTGCTGAGTTAGCTAGTATTGTAATTGGAGAGTGAGAGTTGGTCTCTTAAGTCCGGTACTAAGGATGGGGATTTCAGAATCTACTCGGCTTCCTGCTACTGAATACTGTTCAGTGACCTCCACTGGAAAGTGTGTAAGTGTGGTCGCTGGATGAGATTCGGAACTTGGCTGTGAGGCACCTTTGGCCAATAGCCAGTTGACAGTGCCTTAAGCTCATACATGAATGATGTAGAGAACAGACTCTGACTCGTATGGAGCAATTCCTCACTGGAGTTGATGCCTTCATTAGGGCAGAAAATTTAGTAATGGGGAGAGACAATGCAATGTTCTGTTCCAGTAAAAAAAAAAATCCATTATTTCAGTCCAGAGGCTATTGTTTTTCACTTGTTCTGAATAGCCAAAAATTACAGGGATCCTCGGCTCTCTCCTACCTCATTATGACTTTTAAAAACAAAAGGATGGATGCATATTTTCATGGTAAATTATAGCCAAAGCTATTCCATGCCAGTCAAGATAATCATGTTAAATGTATTTTTATTTGATAATTATCTGGTCCCTGTAACTAGAGGGGTGAGGTCAGGGAATAGCATAGTACAAACGGAGATTAGTATATCTAAAACAAGTTCCTTTTTATCCCAGTCCTTTTGCGCCTTTATATTTAAAGGTAAAATCAGTGATTGACTGTGAAATTGGGATCAACAAGCCTTCAGTTTCTGAGTGCTGTTTAATCATGACTTTTTTTTTAATGAAGGACTGCGATAAGGCCAAAGCTTGCGCAATTGTATATGTTGGGAGACGATTGTATCTTCGTGGACACTTGAGGTTTGCAGCATGTAGCTGCCAACTTGATAGTGCAAGGAATCTCTTGATGTTGATGTTTGATGCCAGTTCTTCATGTTAAGTGAAGCACATCAGTAACCTTACCACCTGTGCATTCATGGGAAGTGATGACCTAGTGGTATTATCGCTCGTCTGCTGACCAGAGACCTAGTAATACTCAAGGGGCTCAGGTCCAAATCCATGGCAGATGGTTGAATTTGAATTTGAATTCAATTTTTTTTTAAAAAGTCTGGAATTAAGAGTCTAATGATAACCATGAAACCATTGTCAATTGTTGGAAAAATCCATTTGGTTCACAAATATCCTTTGGGGAAGGAAACTGCAATCCTTGCCTGGTTTGGCCTACATGTGACTCCACACCCACAACAATGTGGTTGGTTCTTCACTGGCTCTGGGAAATTAGGAATGGGCAATAAATGTTGGCCTAGCCAGCGATGGCCATATCCTGTGAATGAAATTTGAATGTCTCATTAGTTCAAGTGAGCACATTGCTGGATTATGCAATGGTCTAAGGAGGATAAGTCGTCATATTGGTCCTCACTTCAAAGATTTGGAAAGTTCTTCTGAGAAAGTTGGTGACCTTGTGAAAGGCTTGCCAACAAGATTTGTGTACAAAACGTCTACAATCATTAGTTTCAGTCTTAGCGATTATTGCCAATGGGTGAGGAAGGCACTGCAGTGATTGTCCCAGCTCCTGCAATCCCTCAACCTGTGGAAATGCAGCAAAATGCTGTTGAATTGAAGTCCCCAGATATCAACTGACTATTTTAACCCCAAACTATCTCTAATCTCAGCCAATCTACTTGAGCACAGACCCAAGATCAAATTCCTTTACTATTAAGTTTGATTTTCAAAGAGCCAAAAGCTGCAGCAAAGCAAGAGGACAAGCCAATAAGTGTAACTGAATCAAGCAGAAAGATATAAAAGTTTCAAGATGTCAACTTAGCTAAACCAGCAAGAGGCTGCTTTGGGGCATTTAGCAGCACTTCTGAAACAAGTGGTTGCCGTGCAGATGTGAACAATTTAATCTTTGGGCATCTTGTGAGATTATGGTTCTTCAACTTTTGCCGTCCTTGATGATAACTAACATCTTGGTGGTATTCTCGAATCCTGTACTTGATCTGCTGCTTAAGGGCTGTTGGTTCCTCTCTTTCCCTCTTGTTGTGCTGCCATGAATTTTACCACTCACCGACAGATGTTCCACTTTCTCTCTCATATGTAAATACCCAATATTTACTGTGCTTACCTCAAAGTTCTCCAAATGCCAATTAAACAGGGTAGGAAGGTTGACCAATTTTGTATCAGTCAATTGTTAATTCATAGTTAAAATGACCTTGCAGCGTACTAATTTAAGTTGTAAGGTTTTGTTTAGGAATAAGTTGAGCTCATTGCTGCAAGAATGTGACAGTTGCAGAAGACAGATGGTTAAGAGCAGAAAACTGTTCAGGGATAAGGTCAGAATGTATGTAATTAGACCCTAAGGTCTAGGGTTTGTAGTCAGGTTGTGTCTTTGATGTCAGGATCCCATCAGCTCACAATTCTAGGGAGA